TGTGTATATATATATATATATATATATATATATATATATATATATATAAAATGATTAACCACACAATTCCTAAAAGCATATATTAATCATATAAAGGCTAATTACAGTTATGTTACTGGTTTAATGGATCAGCGTAAAAGGTTACCTCTCAAGATACAAACCTATTTGATTTTTGATGAACTTCTACGTGAACCTGAAGAGATTCCAAATCATTAGGAAGAGCTTGTTTTAACTCTACTGCTGCTTCATCCATGACTTGTACAAGCTTGTTGCTAAAAAAAACCTGAGAGATATTTTATAATTAAATGACAAGAATACACAGAAAAATATGTTACGCTAATAAATTAACTTTCAGGCAACACACAAGGTAAACAGGTGATTAAAGATGACAACAGGTCATTAAACTAAGGTGTCCATTTACAAAGCAGAGGACTGGACCACTGCTTAAACAAAACACAAAAAACTAGAGCACACATTTGTTATAAAAGCACAACAGCATGCTTACAAACGTGCATTGGCTTCAGGAGTCCAGAGCCAGCTAAGAGCAATAAAAAATAACAAGAGAGGATAGATAAAAGTCAAAATCACATATCTGGCTCTCCTCCAATTACACAGTTCCCCATGGGACAGTGATGGCTCCACACCACATATTTTTAGTTTATTGTTTTCCATAAACATAAAAAGACATATCGTATGTGCCTCTGTATTGCCCCGCTGGTATCGCCGTTGTTCTTCCGCTGTTCTCCCCCGCGCCCCCTCTTCTGCCGGTGGTAGAAAGCTGGCGTCATAGCTCTCTTCAGCGGCTGAGAGTAATATCTAGCCTGCTATTGGTTATTTTAAATTTCAATAGCCAATAGCAGGCTGGCTATTGCACCCGCCCACTGCCTGCTGTCAATCAGCAAAGGAGGGAACTGCAGGAGAACTTTCTCCTTCAGGTCCTCTTCTTCTGATTGCCAGCCTGCTATTGAAATTTAAAATGACCAATAACAGGTTGGCTACTGCTCCAAGCCACTGCCTGCTGTGTTGACATTCAGCTGCCTCAGCAGTGAATCCAGTGAAGTGGAAATAGGCCACTCTCCCAGGAGGTCATCTTTTCCATCAGATAGATATCCATTTTGCACACCCACTCTGAAAGTGGCAGAGTACCACTCTTACACCAATGTTGAGATATAATGGTTCGTGCAGCACTTTAAAGGTGGCACCACACCACATATTTTATGCATAACCCTGTGCAGTATAATGGAGAGTCGATAGTGATAGTCACTCTCCAATATAAATTTGTCCCTAAGTGTAGAGAAAAATAAGAGTTGTTTCTCATTCATTGAGGGACACAGAATTCGGAGACAACCGGCCGACAGGAGGATTTGGACACTGGCAAACTAAAAAAGAAAAAAACAGTGACCCATGCGCCATTGCCTACAAGTTTTTTCAATAATCTAAAATCTGTTTGATACCTTCTCTGCTGATGCCTGTCTTGGGCTCTCCAGAATTTACCCCAGGCCATTCAGTGGCACCTTCTACCATCTGATTGACTAAGGGTCATTCAGAACCCTACATTTCACCAGAGATAAGAGTTTTATATTACTGAAGACTTAAACCTTGTTGCAAGGCAATGGCGTCACAAGAGGGGTGCGGCCCGCACCTCGGTGAAACGATTGGAGGGATGACACCAAAATGACTGTCATTTTGGTGTCACCCCCTCTAAAAAGTCAGGCACTCAGTGATGGACCGTGAGCCCGACAGTGTCGGGGGGAGGAGGGGACCCGGCGGCATACCTCATCCTGCTAGGTGAACGTCCCCTCCTCTCTCTCTGGCGGCGTCCATCACTAAGACGGACACAGGCAGGCGTCAATTAGATAACTGTGCATGCGCGATGACGTCACCCCTGATGCAAGGTGCCTACTTCAACCAACTACCCCCCTCCACTCCACCTAGAAACACAATTCTTTATTCATAGTTACATAGCATTTGAGGTTGAATAAAGACACAGGTCCATCAAGTTCAACATTTGTGTGTCGGTGTGTGATTGTACGTGTGATCTACTTTTTACCCCTGTATGTTATGGTCTCTTAGGATGGTATCTAATTGATTTTTGAATGATTCAATACTCTCTGCTGATAAGGTTCTGTCAGCTGGCGCCTCTCCCCTCACCGCTGAGCCTTAGTTCTGTGACAGTGGCTCCGTTTGTAAATAACTGGGGGCACATAATACTATGTGTCCCCAGTTATAAATGAACAGGATGTGATTTACATCACTTCCTGTTCATTCATGAGTTTCTGATTGAGTTTCTCAATGGGGAGAAGCACTCTGTACAGAGGCTCCTCCCCATTCAGAAACTGGGTGATAGTAAAATATTTTCTGAATGAATGGGAAGCCTCTGTGCTTTCTATTCATTTAGAACAGAGGCTGCAGAAAACGAGATTGAGGACTTTGTGTTCTCAATTTCTTTTTCTATTTTAAAAAGGGAAATATCACAGGGCTGTTTAGAGCCCTAATATTTCCCCGAAGTCCCCCAGAGAAAAAAAAATAAATAAAAAATAATAGACATAAAATGTAGTAAAAAAAAAGAAAATCCTGGAGGCAGGGTGCTGGGTGATATCACACACCTTTTTTTTGGGGGGGGGGACACTTTTTTTTTATTCCTTTTGTGATCACTCCAATATTGCTGTATGGTCAATAAATTCACCTATTCATAAAAGAACTCAGAGTCTCGTCCTGGGTTGACAACGACACCTCTTAATTACCTCACTTCCAGCGTGAACAAGTTTAAATTTAACAACCTTGTCTCATAGCTTTGGTGTTCCAGCCCCTTAATTAGTTTTGTTGCCCTTCTCTGGACTCTCCCCAGCTCAAGGACGTCCTTTCTGTGGATAGGTGACCAAAACTGAACCGCATACTCAAGATGAGGCCGAACCAGTCACCAACACCATTTGAAAAATTGTGCCTCAACAACATGGCATTCTTTGTCAGACATTCTGTATCCATTGCTAATAAAGTTCTATCAGGTGCAGGAATCAACACACCACCACCTTTCATTAACAAGTGAGAGGAAGAGCTTGGCAGTCCCATTTTCCAAAACCAAATTGACCGTATGGAATCTGTGATAGGGACTGGGGAGGGTCTCAGCTGGCTGACTCACAGTGGATGAACCGGTCTCCATATTACAGTTCACAGACTGACTGGTGCATCCACTGCCAGCCAGCCAAGTATGCTTTGGGCCAGATAAAATCATTTAGCAGGTTGTAATTTGGAGACCAGGCTTTTGCTGAACAGCCTAGTCTGCATGTATACATTTTAGAAAAATGGCCTGTGAAATAAAAATACAGGGCATTTAGAATAATATTATTTCTTATTCATTCTTGCATAAGCAGTTTTGGCTGGCTCTCTACATAAATAAGGGCTCCTTTACACAGCTCTGTAAACAGTACAAACTCTTCACCCAGGAGCAACAAGTGTTGTGCACTAGCTTGCCTGTACAAATTAATGACAGGCTGTGGCTGTACTCTGACAAATGCTGCTCCGAATATGTACATCAGTACAGGTTTATGAAAAAGCAGAAAAAGCACCAGAAGTGACCACTACACTAAGGGGTTGACATGTATGAATACTGCAGGTCGCTGCCCTACTTCAGCCAAGGAGACTGTGGTATCTGGGAAAATAACAAAGGACAAGGGGCGCCTATTTCTAGTGTGGATCAATTTTATTGAGAAGCAGTAGAGATAAAAATGTACTCACAAGAGTAGATCACAAAGGAGCTTTCAAAATCCAAAGAATGGTAACCAGGATATGATGGATGAGAGCTGCACTGACAGGATTATGTGACAGCTCAAACTGCCTACATGACGCGTTTCCCGGGGGTCACGCCCCCTTCATCAGAAAATGACTTCCTGCTCCTTCCCATTGCATTACGCCCCACCGTGACTCAAATGACTCATTTTGAGCCCTGGGCCTTGTGAGTACATTTTTATCTCTACTGCTTCTCAATAAAATTGATCCACACTAGGGTACGCACCCCTTGTCCTTTGTTATTTTCCCAGTACAGGTTTGGATGCATGCCCCCTGGACGCAGGCAGTCTGCGTCCAGGGACGTACATCTGTACCTATAGTAGTATACCCTCAGAGCAGCATTTAACAGCATACAGAGTGCCACTGATTTGTACAGGCAGGCTTGTATGTAACCCATGTGGCTACTGGGCAGAGTTGTGGCCTGTTTGTACAGTATACTGACATGTACACCCATGTGAATGAGAATAAGCGCTAGCTGTTGCAGAGTAGAGTACATATCTATTATTATTGGTATTTATATAGCGCCAAAAATTATTTCCTGTTCAATATTTCCTAACTTATGTTCATACTGCTACTGTACACTTCAGTTTACCCACATGAAAGTTCCAGCTGTAGTTGCTGTATAATGTGTCTGCAAACCTTCCACATTTCTAAAATGGGTAACAGGGACACCTTTTAAGACAAAGCATGTGGGCTGAGAATATTCCACTGCCACCAATACAACTTTACAGAATTAGCCCCTGTTCAGTCCTGTGTGCCAGTGAAATGTGCCTGAACCAGTGAGGGAAAACCCTGGTGGTCAGCAGGGTCAACAGAACTAGTGTCCCCATTGAACGTTTTCCCATCTAGTCCTGTTCCAATGACAACCCAAAATTTGGGATTTACTTTCACTAATGATAGTCACCAGAACAAACAAAGAGGGGGAATAACAACCTGACAGGTGTTCTAAACTCTATCCAAAAGAAAAAAAACAAAGTTTTAGTGTCAGTTGTACTATACATTATTATCTATAGTTATATATGCACGCCGTCACCTGAGGAGGAGAGAGTTTTCTTCAGAGAGCTAGGTGGTTATCTCCTATAGCTCACCGTCACCGTTCCCCGTGTTTGACTAGGAAACCAAATCTGCCGCGCACCCGCCTTCATACTGGGCGGAGGAACAGAGGAAAAACTCCTGACACCACAAGATACAGATGTCTCCACTCTCTAGGCATCATCCATTTTCTTGAAGCCCGTGCTCTTCGATCGCGAACATAGCGGATGCTAATTTAACCCTGCTTTATTATCGTTTGACTGCTTACCGCTTTCCCTGAAAACTATTTAACAACACAAGAAGCATTCAACTAATTTACTACAAACTCGCATCTAATGAGCTAAATAGCGCTATGCCAGCACACTAGCCAGAAAGTCTCGCGGTACTCGCTGGGGTTTGCTTGTGATGGTTTCTGTACACCGGAAGGAAGGAGTTCATATTTATTTCTTCCGGTGCTTGGATGCACTGTTGTTTTTTATTTGTTGATGTTAAATCTGTAGTTGTGTGTACAAGTATGGGGAAGAAGCACAAAAAGCACAGGTCGGAATGGAGGTCCTACGACGCCGGTGAGCTCGGATCTCCCGGTGACCAGTCTCAGTGTGTGTATCGATCTGGGCAAATGGGGAGGGATGTGATGTATTTCAGTGGTTACTGTTACTTGATCCAACCTAGAGTAGTATCTATCTATCTCATATTATGTATGTTATCTATTTTTGTCTGCCTCTTGGTTTGTCCTTGTGCTTAAACCTTAATAATTAACTTCCTTTTTTGCTCCCTTTGGCGGTGTTAATTATACAATTGAAAGCATTTTGTTAGATCTGTTTGATAAGTGCAAAAAAGAAAAACAAATGTGAGATGATAACTTCCTGTGATTTCCACCTGAGTTGCACTCTTTGCATTGTTTTAAATCTCTGTATGGACTACAGAACACCTCCCCTTTTATTTTTTTTGTCAATGGTTGCAGGGGGAGGCGTTTTATAGGCCTAACACACTTCCTATCCTAGGGTGACCATGCTGCTGCTTCATAGATACAGTACGTGTTGTCACCCTAGTACAAGTGTGTTACTGGTGAGATCACCAGAAAACAACAAAGGGGACATAAGCTTGAACAATTAAAATTAATGCAGCCCCCACATCTATGGACTGGTAAGCTGCAATATATTACATTTTGTTCTTGGGTTTCGATTTAATGGGAATTGTGCGAATTTTGTTGTAGTGATGGAAAAATGCAGCTTTGTATATGTATGAAAGCAAAAACTGATCCTACCTAGTTATAGATGTGGAGTGCCTAAGAGCTGTCTGAACAAGCAGTGAAGCTGGGTTCACATCCATCCACGTTCACTTCACTGTTTTTCATTGCATTGCTTTATGGGTGTTTACATGCATTTTCACGTGTCATGCATTTTAGGTTTTTAGCCAAGCAGTATTAGCTTTCTGCAGTGACATTATTGTTGAGGACTTTAAAGTGATATTAAAGTCAAAAGGATGTTAAGCTATTTCAAATGCTGATGAAATCACTTGCAATGGATGCTGCTCCTTGAGGTTTAAAAGTGTTGGGTTTCTGCAGAATCAGCTGGTCTCCTGAGCACAGGTCCTGACTTTGTTTTAGAGTGACTCTTTTCTCAAGCAGAGTGCTATGCAGTCACCCTTGTGCATGCTAGTAAGCTGTGTGTGTGTCCACAGACACAGCAAATCAAGATAATTTCCTTCCTTCTCCAAGCTAGTAGATAGAGACCTGCTGGAGTCTGCACTGTCATTTGTGATCTTGTACTGGACAGGAAGTTCAGGGAAGCTGAGACTTGGAAGCAGCTGTAAAGGAACACAATGATTGTAAGTGTTTAGGCAAAAATGTAAAGCAATGCTTTGCTAGACAATGTATATTTGTTTTGCATGCAGTATTTTTTTGCTTTTGCACTGGACCGGACTTCAGGCAATGTTTTGCCACGCGTGTGATTGCAGTGCCGGTGAGGGGAGCGTGACTGACTTCAATGCCATTGGCTTCAATGCCCCACCACGCCCCCTCCCGACTCAAAATGAAGGGGGGAGTTTAGTGTGCGATTAGAGTGCGTTCCAGCAGCTAGAGCTCTGGAACGCACCACAATTGGTGTGAACTGGCCCTTTGGGATGCACTTCCTGAATTTCTGTGAGGTGTGTTGATGAATCTGAGCAGCGGCTCAAGAATATGTCAGCCAAGGTTTCCCACCCTCTGCTGCATCTCTCTTTGTAAAAGTAATGGGAGGGGTTGTATAGGAGTGGGAGGCTATGAACCTCCCTGATGAGTGCCGCACTGTCACAAAGACTAAGCTTCACAAGGCACATAGACTTGCATTGCACTGAAAGTGCCTAAAAAAATGGACATGCCTTATTTGTGTAAATGCAGCACGCATACTGTATGTAAACAGGCCAATTGGTTTTTATGTGTTTTCATACTACATACCCGTTGTTTCATGTTGTGACACACATTTAATTGTGAAGGTGTGAACATTTAACCCTAGCCATTCTGAGAAGGTACACAAGAAGGGAGTGTTGCAAAGTCATAGGAAACCAACATTATGCCCCAACTTTGTGATGCTGCCTTCCCAATAAATAAATTAAACACATTTATTCGGAGAGCTGGTATCGGCACTTTTACTGCAGATGTTGCCATTAAAGCAATGATAACAACCAGTTTTGTTTGGAAATTTCAATGGCTGATGATTGTACTTTTGTACCGGATTGTTTTGAAACAAGACTGAGACCTCTATGAGGACACAGGAGAGCTTTCCACCCTGTGGTGTAATGATCGCTTTAAATGAATGGCTTTAGGGATATTCAGATTCTGTTTAATCACTTTTCTTCACACAATCCAATGCCTGGTTATACAGTAAGGTCTGGAAATAAATGGATACTGACAGAATTTTTATAGTTCTGTCTCTGTATGCCACCACAATGGATTTGAAATAAAACACTTGAGATGCAATTGAATGCTGACCTGCATCTTTAATTCAAGGGGTTGAACAAAAATATCATATGAAATGTTTAGGAATTGTAACCATTTTCACACACAATCCCCTTATCTCAGGGGCTGAAATGTAATTGGACAAATTTACACAATCATAAATAACTAAATAAATACATGTTCATTTTTAATGCTTTGTCGAGAATCCTTTGCAGGCAATGACTGCTTGAAATCTGGAATGCATGGACATCACCAAACACTGGGTTTGCTCCTTTGTTATGCTTTGCCAGGCGTTTTCTGCAGCTGTCTTTCAGTTGTTGTTTGTTCATGGGTCTTTCTGCTTTAAGTTTTGTCTTCAGCAAGTGAAATGCATGCTCGATCGGGTTGAGATCAGGTGTTTGACTTGGCCATTGCAGAATATTCCACTTGTTTGCCTTAAACTCCTGGGTTCCTTTCGCAGTATGCTTTGGGTCACTGTCCATCTGTAAAGTGAAGCACCATGCAATCAACTTCACTGAATTTGGCAGAATCTGAGCAGACAATATATCCCTATACGTTCAGAATTCATCCGACTGCTTCTGTCTTTTGTCACATCATCAATAGTGACCCAGTGCTATTGGAAGCCATGCATGCCCATGCTATCACACTGCCTCCACCGTGTTTTACAGATGTAGTATGCTTTGGATCATGAGCCATTCCAAGTCTTCTCCATACTTTTTTCTTCCCATCATTCTGGTACATGTTGTTCTTCATTTCATCTGTCCAGAAAATGAACACTGGGCTGGCTTTTTTAGATTTTTTTTTTATTTAGCAAAGTCTAATCTGGCCTTTTCTAATCTTGAGGCTTATGAATGGTTGTCACCTTGTGGTGAACCCTTTTGTATTTGCTCTCGTGAAGTCTTCTCTTTATGGTAGACTTGAATGTTAGGCCTACCTCCAGGAGAGTGTTCTTCTTTTGGCTGGATGTTGTGAAGGGGTCTTTCTTTGTCATGGAAAGGATCCTACGATCACTCACCATTGTTGTTTTCCTGGACATTCAACCCTTTTTGTGTTGAGCTCACCAGGCCGTTTTTTTTCCTCAGAATGTACGAAACTGTTGGCCATAAGCTTTTTAACCAAAAAGTTTTGCCACTAATAATGTTCCCGCTATCTTCTTCTTTTTGTGGATTCACGGCAACAGCTTCTAAATGTGAATGCCACCCCTGGAATCAACTCCAACGCTTTTGAGTCAATTGTCCAATTATTTTTGGCCCCTTGAAAAAGGGGGCTAAATATTATAGAGCTGTAATTGCTAAGCCATTCCACCAATATGGATGTGTATACCCTCAACTTAAACCTGGGAGACTGCACTTTAAGGCCAGATTTTTTTTATTTAACTGTAACTTGAATTTAATTTGGTAAACTGCCAAAATATCAAAACTTGTGCCAGTGTCCCAATTATTTCCCTACCTAATTGTATATGCACAATCATAGATCTGTCTTCAATAACCACATCCTTTTGTCAAGGAGCCACTAGTGTCACAAAGACCCTGTCAAGGGCATGATTAAGGCCTGACCAAATAGCCCTGTTGTCTGGATTTAGTGAACATGCTTTCAATTTTAGCTACAGTCATGTCAATCAAAGTAGATCCTCATTACCCTCTGTAACTGTGGACTGGGAGACCTCTGGCAAGATGATGTGGATGGGCATTATTGAAATTTAATAAGGTATTATGGTCAGTAAATTTCATAATAGATGTTTTGTACTTGCTGCTTTTAAAGGATAGACATACCATTTTTCTGAATACCCTATAAAGAGCTTTTCAAATGAAGGGGCAGCAGAGCTTCCCATAACAGTACCCCAAACTGTCACTATTAGCAGACATTCAAATTATAAGTAATTTATTCTCAGGGTTTTTTTAGATATTTTATCACCGGGGAAGGTGAGCACATATTTTGTAGTGCTGTTATTTTTCATATCTTTGTTTCCTTTTGGTATTCTTACAGGAGCTTGTTCTGTGAAATAGATTTAGGTTCCACAGATTAATATTGTTTTTATATCTTACATAGTTACATAGTATTTGAGGTTGAATAAAGACATAAGTCCATCAAGTTCAACCTATTGCGTGTATGCATATCTGGAATATAGTTCCATCATACTCATAACTTTACTTTAGGAGGGTCTGAATCATCTCCTTGTGGGAAAAGGGGCCCTATGTTGCACCCTGCTTCTTCAATTGCTGGCTTTAATGATATGACACAAAAACACACACAAGCGACACAGCCTAGCACAGTGAATGAAGATATGGAAATAGGATGTTTAAAAAATAACAATGTAGCACTCACTAAATCAATTTGGGAAAAATAAAATCCCAAATGTCAGGCTTAGTGGTGTATTGCTTGATGGCAGATGTGTATATTTACAAAGGAACACTAATATAACTTTGACAGATTAAAAAGGATAAAAATGCACTCGCATAGGGGCGTATGAGAGGGACCCCATATGGTGTCAGGTATACGGATGAAGCCGATGTGGTAGGTACCTCTACTGTTCTGGATGGTGAAGGAACAGCAGCTGTGTTCAGTGCAGAGGTGTTTTTCGCAGAGCAGCTGGAGAATTCGTTTTTTTTGGGGGGGAAATGAAAGGAATCTGTCTTTCTGAGATAACTTATCTGATCGGCTACTGTGAAGGGGCCAGTAATGCAAATAATGCCGGCTGTCGGAACAGAAGTGCTGTAGCTAGAGAATGTGTTGAGGTGGGGGCAATGGGGAAAATGGAAGCAGGGAGCCAGTGGCAGGGAAGCGGCAGTTGTACCGCAAGGAGGGAGAGACGACTGGTGTAAAACATATATAAATGACAGCGGTATTTTGAAAATGACAAAAAAAGTTAAAAACAGTTTGGGAAGAAGGTGGACTGTGGATAGTTTAAAGGCAACACATTTCGAGGAAATATTCCTCCTTTTTCAAGCCACAAAAGGAGCTCCATTTTCACCCGCATCAGTCATCTCTCCCTCCTTGTGGTACAGCTGCCGCTTCCCTGCCACTGGCTCCCCGCTTCCATTTTCCTTTTTGATTTAGAGAAGACTTTTAAATCTATTAGCAATATCCCCTCGCTGACCTTATTGGTAATTATTTCCTCCAGGAGGGTCTCCGAGCTTGCTGCCTTGTCTTGCAAGACCCTCTTCCTTATTTATTATAGGCCAAGGCTATCCTTTTTGCCTAAGGTGTCCTCTTTTTGTCCTAATGAGGAAATCATGCTTTCTTTTTTTTTGTCTAGCTCTGGCCCATTTGAAAGGATTTGCTTTGTCTTCACTGGACATCACTAGGGCTTTCAAAGTATTTCTGAATGCTATTGCTTATATGTAAAAGTCTGATTCCTTGTAAGGGTTCTGCATATTTTACATAACTATTTCTAGATGGATCCAGTTTTTGTTTTTTTATTTGCCATTACGTGTGACTTTGCTTTGCTTTTTTACCAGGGTAGTCAGTGCATCTTGCGTTTTCTGTTCTTAAAGCGGACCTATACCCCCTTTCACTAAAAATGACATCAGCATGCATCTCATCTGTAATCTCAGGAGATCTCAGGAAAATAAATTTTCCTCCCCTGGGATTACCCATGTCACATGTGCCAGAGTTCCAGGATGTAAAGGGAAATATATTAATCTGCCCTTCGTTAACATGGCCACTATGAGAAGAGTGGAGAAGAAAAGAGAAAAAAGGTATGCAAAGAATACAAAGCTTGCAATAATCTGTTTGTAGATTGCAATTACTAAACATTTTTAAAGGTGTGTTTGTTGTTATTTTAAAGATATGGGTAAAGTTCCTCTTTTAAGTTTTCGTGTTTCAAGTTTAAAGGCGGCAACATGGTCTTCCGTGAACACTTTTACAACATTTTGCAAAGTGGATGTGGCAGCACATGGGTTTAAGGTTTGCAGGTGACCACGTGAATCGGCCATTATTATTGCGGGTGAGGTTAATACCTAGTTTTTACACTTACTGAACAGATCTAACAAAAGTTATTTAATAGTATGTTTAGCAGACTAAAAGGGAGCAAATAAGAGAAGTTAATTGTTGGGATTTACTGTACAGACACTTTAAGTATCTTATGTAGATTCTAAACATATGCTGTAGTTTAATATTTGAATCTTTAAATATATGAAAGATAATTATTGAATTCACATCAATTGAATATATTTCTCCTTGTTCAGATTATGTTGATAAACCATCTGAAAAAACTTTAAAACTGGTTCTTAAAGTTGGAGGTAGTGAAGTGACTGAACTGTCAGGATCTGGACATGATTCTAGTTATTATGATGATCGATCAGATTATGAGCAGCGTGAGCGACACAAAGAAAAAAAGAAAAAAAAGAAAAAGAAGTCAGAAAAAGAAAAAGAAAAGCATGTGGATGAAGAAGAAAGAAGACGAAGGAAGGTATGTCACCTGTAGTGTAAACTGAAGATACTTGATTTAATTTATATATAGTGTATGTGTAGCTAAAACATTGTCCATTGTCTTCGAGACAAGGTGGTGGGAATTCTAAGGTGTTGGAATGGACACCTTAGAAAAAGGTAAAGCATCCCATGCAACTGGAGTTTAATTTTCTCAGAGATATTGCATTGAAGTAGTCAGGCAATGCTCAGTCAATGCTTTAGTTATAAACTTGCACTTCTAGGATATGATTTTGATGCCTTCCCCTTGAGTCTCTTTAACTCGCAATTAAAATTACAGACATTCTATCTGCATGAAAGATGGTATTATAATAATTTGCCGAATTTGTTTTATCCTTGCATAAGTTCTGTTTAAAAAGGAAACTTTTTTTGAATGGACATGCAGGGCTCAAACAACTAATCGATTATTGAGGATCGTTGTCAACGATTAGTCGATTAGATTAGTTGAATCAACGCCGCCACTCTGCTCCTTACTCTGCTCCTTGTTTTCCTCCCTACTGGTGCCGGCTATCAGTCTGTGTCCCTTTTTAATCAGAGGGTAGGAGAGACTGCTGTGCCTCTGCTCCCCCCCTGCCTCCACTGCTGCTCCGTTGCCTTCTCTGCTTCCCTATGCCTCAGTTTATCATTTGCTCCCCATTTGCCCCCTCTTCTGCCGGCAATAGAAAGCCGGCTTTAAGTACCCATCTACCCATCAGGTACTGTTGGCTACTATTGGCTATTGCAATTTGAAATAGCCAGTGGCAGGTTGGCTGTTGCTCCAAGCCACTGTATGTTGTGATTATATTCAGCTGCCTCAGCAAGCAGCTGTCATTTTCCCTAGCTAAAGCTATTGAAGTGGAAAGGTGACAAAAGGGGTCTAATAAAACCCCTAACGTCACCTTAAAGAGAACCTGTCACCTCCAATGTGCTATTACATAGGGGGCTTGTGATCCCCACCATGTGATGGCAATGAAGTTAGGTAAAATAAATAAAGTTATACACCTAAATACGAAACGACGATTGCGCTACACATGCGATAATTCTCGGGCCAATATTCATAGCTAACGCTACAATAATCACTGGGCATATATATTTTGTATTATGTCCAATTTTGGAGTGTTATTTTAAATAAAAGTTTGGTTATTTTTTTATATTGGCTTAGAGTTTTACACTTCACATTATTTTAAATCCTTGAAATTAATTAAAATGTTTAATATAATACATACAAATATATGAAAAATAAAAAAAAGGTGGGAAAAGTCTTTGTAACAGTCCATTTGTATACTTTATTTTAAATTAAATGATGTTTTTGTTTTTTTTTGTTTTTATTTAGCCGATTAATCGAAAAAATAATTGTTAGTTGCAGCCCTATGGTCATGACATATTTTCTGGAGAATTAATATACAATTTGTCCAAGATGACTTTTTAAACATTGGCATGTTATTTGATGTAATTTGAGAATATACATTTGTTTCTTGTTTTATAGGAAGAGAAAAAGAGAAAACGAGAAAAGGAACAGTGTGACTCTGATGGTGAAACAGAGTATTTTGAGCCAACAAAAAAAGTGGAGGTTGAAACTCCAACAGACCGTCCTGTTAGAGCTTGTAGAACACATCCAGGTAAAATCATTAATTTGGCATTATATTATTTTTTGCTTATAATATATGATGTGGTTTAAATTTAATATATGATGTGATTTAAGTTTTTGTTATTTCTTTGCAGCAGAAAATGAGAGTACACCGATACAGCAACTTCTGGAATACTTCCTCCGCCAACTGCAACGGTAAGTTGAGTCTTAGAGCTTTCCATGGGAATTAGAATTTAGTAACAATTATCAGTGTCCATGAGTCACTTCTCGGAGCATACAGCAATGAAAATGCTAACCAAATATGGCCATTTAGTATTGTTTATCATTGTATAAATGTATGCATATTTTTTTTTTCTTCACTCACTAAAGAGTTAAATCTGAATAGAGCGATTCAGAGCGCGACACAGTTTTAAGGTTTATATGTTTTAATCATTTGACTATATTTGTGTTGCTGTTTTCACATATTTGGCCTGGGATATAAAATAATTTGTTGTTCAGTAAAATAACATTAGGGGGAAGGGGGAGGGCAGGCACAGAAAAGTAGAGCAGTGAAATGAAGAGAAAAAGGTGCTCAGAGGTGGAATGGAAAACTGGAACAAGGCTGTAAGCATGTAGAGACAGAGCATGGTAAAATTCACAAGAGAAGGGAGATGCCAAGAAGGAGTCATGTACAAGGGTGCAATACTATAATTAAAAGTACAGGGGGTTAGGTTAGACTGGGCAACACAGAAGAAGCTTTTACCCAAAATGGGGTAGTGAAAGAGAGAAGAGGGTTTAAAGCTATAGATGTGCAAGAATCCCCCACTGGCACTGAGCCAACGTGCCTTTCTTTCTCATTCAATGAGGGGCACGGGATTTAGAGATAATACGGTTATACTGCCGCCTACAGGAGAATTTTGACACAAAAAATGTGACCTGCTTAGCCTACTCCAAGCATGCTTCAGGTTTTGTGCTAAAAGGATGGATGTCTTTCCTCTACTAAGAAAAAATACCTGTTTTTACTAGTTATTTTTCCTTTTTTTTTTTTTTCTTTTTTTTTTAGTTTTTTTTCCTTTTTTTTTTTTTTTTTTCTTTTTTTTTTTTTCTGTAATCAAGATTTCATCTACAAGCTGCTTGCGCTAGTCACATTATGCAGCTATCCAGATTAGTGTAGCTTCAGCAATAGCTTTGGAGGCAGTACCTGTATTACTCTGGACTTGGACGATTTTGAGGGCTGACCGGAATGGGACCTTCAGGCATTAGGTCCCGCATTTAGGCAGTTTCCAGACCTTTGTGTACTGTGTTCGTTAACCGCAGATCGCTTTCCAAGTCTAAAGCCATAACATGGCCTCTTGTGTGAGCCAGCCTCTGAAAAATACATTTTGATATGGGCATGTGGGCCAATTACGAGGAGTTACTTTCTTTTATTAGAACCATTAAGCTGCATTATTATCCCTATTTTTCCTTTTTTAGTTTTTTTACGGAAAGTGGTGTAACGCAGGGGTCCGAGTGCTGCATCACTAGGTGGAGTGTCGTGCGGACCCTGCGCGTCCTTATTTCCGCCATTCGGGTAGGTAGGGGTTGCAGCTTCTTATCACAAGAGACACATGGTTTCACCTTGGTTAGTCCTTGCTGCTGCCTACTGTGACCTGGCCATTGAAATCTTTTCCACTTCCAGCAGCCAGTTTGTGAGTACTTGAGGTTTTACCTTGTAGTTAAGCTAAGTTGTACCTGCTTGAGCTGCAACATGTTGATCCCAAGCACACATGGAGTAGTCCAACTGAATCGGGTCCCTCTGACTCACGATAAACTAACTAGTTCCATGGTGGCCTGTAGTGTTCCCTTCCATGGGCCTGACAACAACAGCCTGAAATTTTGTACCCTTGTTGATTCTCTACATTCGTTGGAGCCTTCCTTAGCTCCCTCAGTTGGGCCACTTCCTCTGTTTTAACCTGAGAGGATTTCACCAGTTATGCAGTTTATGTGCCAAATTGCAGTTATGATTGCTGACCCTTACCTTAGAGGCCATAACCATACCTCAACAGTTTCCCCTGTAGAATAATTATCTGGCCTGCCTGCAGCCTTAGAAGCCACTGAGACTTTAGCTGCAAAGGAATCTCTATCTGTTGAAGAGTCTTGCCGGGTGTTATTGTACATTGGGAGTCACAGGCATTTGCCATAACTCCCTTTTAAGGAATGTCTCTTCTGAGCTGCCTTGGACACCCCTTCATCAAGGATGTCACTGGGGGGTAAGAGTACTTGTCTACCCAAGCAAATGAAGGCCTCGAGGTGGGAAGTGTAATCTGGAGCTCTGCTGAGGGCTCTGACTGCCAGTGAAGGGTGTCTGTCTTTTTGAAGGTGATGTTTACATAGTTACATATAGTTAGGTTGAAAGAAGACACAAGTCCATCGAGTCCAACCTATAGAGATACGGAGAAAAAGAAGAAAAGCCTAAACAGAACACTATGCCCACAATTACCCAATGTTGATCCAGAGGAAGGCAAAAAAAAAACAAAAACCTATAAAGCATGGTTCAATTTTCTCCAACGGGAAAAAAATCCTTCCTGATCCCATAAGGCAATTGGATATTCCCTGGATCAACAATCTCTGATGCTTAATATACCTCTAAGAACTCAATATCCAGTAATATTCTGTGCATTTAGGAATACATCCAGATGTTTTTTAAAACCATTAACCGAGCTAGCTAGAACAAGTTCCTGGGGGAGTCTATTCCACATTTTCACAGCTCTAACTGTGAAGAATCCTTTCCGTATGCAAAGGTTAAACCTCTTTTCCTCCAGACGCAAAGAGTGCCCCCTTGTCCTTTGCAGTGACCTTAACCTGAATAATTTGGCACCAAGCTCTTTATGTGGACCATTTATGTATTTATACATGGTGATCATGTCCCCCCTTAATCGCCTCTTTTCCAGAGAGAACAAATTCAGGTCAGCTAATCGTTCCTCATAGCTGAGCTCCTACATGCTTCTTATGAGTTTGGTCGCCCTTTGCTGCACTTTCTCTAGTTCCACAACATCCTTTTTGTGAACTGGTGCCCAAAACTGAACTGCATATTGCAGATGAGGTCTTACTAATGCTTTGTACAGGGGCAGGATTATGTCTCTATCTCTGGAGTCTATACCCCTCTTAATACAAGAAAGTATTTTGCTTGCTTTAGAAACTGCGGCTTGACATTGCATGTTATTATTGAGTCTATGATCTACCAGAACACCCAGATCTTTCTCCATCATTGACTCCCCCAAACATACTCCCCCTAGAGTATAGGACGCATGCATGTTTTTAGTCCCCAAGTGCAGAACTTTATATTTATCAACATTAAACCTCATTTGCCAAATAGTTGTCCAATCACACAGAGCATTCAGATCTGCCTGTAAGTTGGAGACATCCTGTAAGGACTGTATTCAACTACATAACTTAGTGTCATCTGCAAACACAGAAATAGTACTTTTAATCCCCAATTCTATGTCATTTATAAATAGGTTAAACAGTAAGGGACCCAACACTGAACCTTGGGAGACACCACTAACAACCTCGGACCATTCAGAGTACGAATCATTGATCACCACTCTGAATACGGTCTTTAAGCCAGTTTTCTATCCAATTACAGATTGAATACTCTATACCTACTGACCTTAACTTATACATTAGCCGCATGTGGGGAACTGTGTCAAACGCTTTTGCAAAGTCCAAGTATACTATATCCACTTGATTGATTCAACTGGGCTCTATAAGCTGACTGATGAGTTTGCTTTGCAGTGGAAACATTACACAAAACAGAGAAAATTACAAAAAAAAAGGATTATAGCCAAGATGGAGGCAACAGTGCTGGTCTCAAACAATCCCCCCCGGACATCTGCCAGAAACGGCAGGGAAAAGCAAAAAGAGGTGGTAGCAAAACTGGAGAATTTCATCGACTGGTATGGACCCCTCTCACACAAATGGGCCTCTGGGGGTGGGTGGAATCAATGTGTAAGCCTGGTGAAGATGTCTCAGGTGCAGATGGGGGGATTGTGTGTGGACTATGTGGGCAATCACCTCTGGACTATGCAGATACCCCTGAGGATCCCTCATTAAAAGAGGTGCTCTCAGCAGTACAATCCTGTAATATGTCCTTGATTTCACTAGCAGACCAAATGCAAGCACTGCGACTAAACGTTTCTTTTCTCAGATAGGACACAAAAAATCAGAGAAATGGTTATTGAAGCAGAAGACTGATTCAGTAATGTGGAGGATATAAATGTCTGTGTGTGCTGATCTTAAAATGACTATGCAAAAACTAGCTGCTTCTTCACTTAAAGGGGTTCTAAAGCCTCCAGTTTTTTTGCCTATATCTACTGCTGACAAGCAGTATATATGCAAAAAGTTTAAAAAAAACAACGCTTAAACAGCGGTTTAGACTAACCTCATTTTTGAAAATAGACCAAGAATGGTCGGTATACCCGAACATACCAAGGGGTTAAACCCCAGTGTCTTTTTCTGAGAAATGGAAGGGAGTGTTTTATCTCCTTTGTTTTTGATTGAACATGCACATAGAATTCCTTTTACACCCTCCATTATCAGGGAATCCTCCTAGGCCTCTGTTGATCAGACTTTCTAATTATAGGGATAAGGAAATGATCCTCTAAAGTTTGTGAGCTGGGCACTGTATCTGTGACTGTGTCTAGAGTGATGTTTTTTTCCTGACTTTTCATATGAAATTCTTACATTATGACCCATAAGCCTTCAATAGTTTGTTTACAAGAAACTCCTATAGTGGGTGGTAATGTGAGGTGGCTAGAACGTAAGTTTATACAATATACAGCCTACACTTGTTCTGTATATTCTAGAGGGGTCTCAGTATGGTTTGTAAAGATATAGCTTTTTCCTGTTTACAGGTTCAAAGAGGGTAGATATGTATTTATACACTGTAAAATCTATGATTTTTAATTTATATTGGTAAATGTATATATTCCTCCTCCTTATTTCAACTCCAGAAAATGATTGCTTTTATTAAGGATAAATTACCTATTCACATGATAGTAATAGGGGACTTTAATAATTTTATGAATGCTCTATTAGATAAATTCCCTATACCAATCCTCCAGGGCACTAGTGAGGTCACTGCGCTGTATAATGTTTGTAAAGAGACCGGTTGTACGACGTGTGGCGTTTGCTGCACCTAGTAGAATATCAATGTATTTGTTTTTCTAAAACTCAGA